TGAGATTACTGTGTTGTAATTTTTTTTTTTAAATCCAGCTTCTTATTACAGGGGATTTTGAGAGCAGATACAGAGTAGAATTAACTGAAACTATCACTAAGGTGGTTCATTTACTTCCATTGCTTGCTGGTTGATTTATTTAGTTTTATTCCCAAAGTATAGAGGACTGAAGAGCTGAAAGAGACAAGAATGCCCAGACCACAGATTATGACCAGGGAACTCTGAGTACAGGTGATTATGATCTTACGTGTTCTCTGGGGGTACAGTCAGGAAGTTGCCTCTCCTTCTAATACCTCAACGTGGTTAACAGCATGTACAAGCTCAGAAATAACAGAATGAGAATTCTAAAACTGTTGGCCTTCTGAATTCTCCCTCTGCTAGGAAGCACTATTCCAGCCAATAATTTTGTTCATGCTTCTCTTAATATGTGTTTAACCTGGTTAGCTCACAAAGAGGGGAAAATTTTAAGCTAAGTAATACAAAGATTGATTTTTCTCCCATTTCAGTTATCAGGGCAGGAGATAGGGAAAATAAAAATATTGGACAAAATTCTAGAGTATTTTGCCCCAGGGTTGCTAGCACTGGTATCTCACCCATTACCAACCCTCAGCCATTGAAGGCCTGCAATGTTTGGTGTTGTAGAGAACAGAAGACTCAAAATACATGATCCTTGAGATCAACAGTTTGACCTTCCAACAAGCCCGTTCTCTTCCTGGGTGTGCTTCCTTTTTTTTTTGGACCACTTAATTTTATGATGTACAGCATCCTAAAACTATAAACTACTGGTTGTCATAACGCTTATATGGCCTAACCCAGGTTTCAAAAAATGTTGAGTGAATTGCCATCATTTAATAATTGGGAAACTGCCCATTAAAAATCTGGATTTCCAGCTTCTCTCTGAGAATTGGGAGGCCTGGCAAATCTGGGCTCACATTCCTGTGTGGCCACAGTCAGCTAAACTCTAGTACCAGCTGCTCCCTTTAAGACCAGCCATTTGGGCTCCAGTCTCTCCCCGGCTGGCTTTCCTGATGGCACCTTTCCTACCTGGATTCTTCAAGATGGTGGTTCTTGAACCTGGCTTCAAACTGTCAGGAATCACGTGAGGAACTTTAAAAGCTACTGATGCCTGTGTTGCAATCCTCAAAGATTTTGATATAATCCATCTGTTGTGTAATCCAGGCACTGGGATTTTTATAAGCTCCTCAGGCAATTCCAAAATTGAGGACCCCTGTCTAAGAGCATCTCAAAGTTTAGCTTGCATATGAATCACCTGGGGACCTTATTAAACTGCAGATCGTGATTCAGCATGCATGTCTGGGATTCTGCATATCTAGCAAGCTCCTAGATGGTGTCAGTGCTGCTGGTCTATGAGAAGTAAGGCTTGAAGGCATTTGTCTTTGTTTTGTTTTGTTTTGTTTTGTTTGCGGTACGAGGGCCTCTCACTGTTGTGGCCTCTCCCGTTGCGGAGCACAGCCTCCGGACGCACAGGCTCAGTGGCCATGACTCACGGGCCCAGCCGCTCCGCGGCATGTGGGATCTTCCCGGACCGGGGCACAAACCCGTGTCCCCTGCATCGGCAGGCGGACTCTCAACCACTGCGCCACCAGGAAAGTCCTTTGTTTTATTTTGATTTTGAACCCTAAACTACAGACTTGGGTTTCAAGTCTAATGGAAGCTTATTCTAGCACTCACATTATTGAAGTAGCTGGACTGATGGTGGCAAATGAGAATGTACTACTGGTCCTCTTTGGGAGGGTACATCTCAGCTTGCTGTGGCCACTGAAAACCTTTCGGTGTTAGGGGTCCTTAACTCCCATAGGTCTGCCTTCCAAACCACCTTTGCTGTCACCAATGATACATGACAACCCTCTCTCCCTTTGGCAAACTGTACCTCCTTTGACATTTTGAGCTCTTTGATGGTGGCACCGCTCTCATCCACCAGTTCCGCTGTTACTGATTGCATGGTAGTGTTTGTGCGTTTATTTGAGCATTTTATTGCAGTGGTTTCAGTTTGTGTTCCCAGATGCCTTAGGCCTGGAGCAATGGTTCTCAAACCCTAGCATGCCACTTGGAAGGTGTATTAAAACAGATCCATAGGCTCCCTCCCCAGTATGTCTGACTCACTGAGGAGAGAATTTGCATTTCCAACAAATTCCCAAGAGGTAATGCCATGGCTGGTCCAAAGACCTAGAGGCACCCTTGGTCTCACCACATGGCTTCTCATAACAGTTACATTTTTGGAGTCCAGATAAGATTTGATTAAAGGAAAAGGTTATTTTTTAAAAAATTTTGAATACTGCTGTTTTGGTGACTTTTGCTTTAATTATTTCATAGAAATTAATAGAAAATAAAAATAAATAAAAATTTGAATATTAGTGATATGGCGGGGAGGTATCAATTTAATAAAGATGAAACAAAGACTAAACTTATTCAATTATGGAAAGAGAACCATACTGTCCTATCATGGAACACTCTTTGGACTTATACTATGTGTTCAAATATGACAGAAAAACATTAAAGAAAAAACAACATATACTGGAAATAAGTTGTTGAAGTCTATCTAGAAAAGGAAGCTTGATTAAGGATTTCATGCTATTTTTAGGTTTGGGGGGAATAGAACCCCATTATAGCAGTATATAAATGTCTTTCCAGGAATTCATCGCGTATAAAAGGAGACAGCTGGTGAGGTTTCTTCAGACGCAAGCCTAAAGGAAATACAGCAAACGTCACAGCAGTTACATCTCAGCTTATTGGACCGGATCAAAGAAACTCTCTCACAGGGTGAGACACCTCATTTCATTTATAAAGCTCAGGCAAACAATATATGAGGTCCTTCATTTCACAGGATGGGTGGGAATCATGTAGTTTAGTAAACTTCATATTTACTTTTAGATGAAGTGGATTCTTAAACAAGACAAGTATCTGTCTGCTTTTGTATCTGCACTTCAAGAAATATGCTGTAATAACAAAAATGCAAGGGCCTGAAGACCCTCAAGTAGAACTAACTTGTCCGTTAGAATGTGAGTCACCTTTAAGAATGATTATATTTCCTTAGGACAGTCAATAAATTTCAGGATATTCTTTACTTCCAACGCCCAGAGGAATAAAGCACCAAATTCAAAGCTTGACAAAAGTCTAAGTGCTTGGTTTAAAAAAAAAAAAAAAGTAATATTCTTGCAAGGAAATTGGGAAAAGGGCTCTAGGGCAAGTAGGCTGGGCGGGTGCAGGTCTCAAAACCGCAAAAGAGGAATCTGGGAAGAGCTTTTTAAAAAGCGGACTCAACATGTTTTCACGGGCGAAAGAGGAACAGAGGGTGCTGGCATCCCATCCTACTGTCAGAGGAAGGTTCGAATCAACGTCAGATTTTTCTTGAGCAACTAAAATAATGACGACTAGCTGAAGAGGGTGCATTTGAAAATTAACAAATTTAAGGAACCGTACAAGTCACATGCGCTTCCTCCACCGACCCCATGAGCAACCAAGGGGCCACGGTCTGCCTGAGCGACCTACATTTGCTCTGTCATCTCAGGACTGCGAGGGATCAGCCAGCGTGCGCCCTCCTCATAAAACTCTGCCCTGCTGGCGGGCCGGGCCGGCTCCCGGTGGCGGCAGTGCCAGCCAGGCTCCTGGAGTTCTAGGCAGGCTGCGGGCGCTCGTCCCTCCGCTTCACCCTTTCACCCCTCCTTCACCCCCAGGCGCTACGCGGGGTGGCGAGGATTTTCCGCCCACTCCCGCGGCCGCGCTGGCGAGGCCATGAATTGCAGGGCCTCCCGGCTTTGGCGAGCTTGGAATCCGAGTCCTCCCCGTCCCGGCCACTCCGCTGGGGCGCTGGGGGCTCGAAAGAGGCTGGGGTTTGTTTCAAGACACTGCGATTAGAGACGCAGCTTCTAAGTCTGAATTTGTCCTCGATCTTCCCCAGACCCGCCGCCTCTGGTCTCGAAGACGCCCGGCAGCCGGCTCGGTCGCAGGCGGGCAGCAGCCTGGCCGGCCCGGAGGGCGCAAAGCCAGAGCGCTCGGCCCGGCAGCCCAGGGCATCCCCGCGGCTGGGGGCGGAAGGCGAGCCCGGCAGCAGGAAAGGTTCGCAGGGCCGGAGCTCCACCCGGCTGGCCGCCGGGCTCGGGGGCCCGCAAAGTGAACGGCGGCGGCGGAGGGCGCGGGGCCAGCGGAGAGGGGCGGAGACGCGGGCGGCGGTTGGCGCGGGCTCGGGGGCGGGGCGCGCGGGGCGGGGCCGGAGGCGGGGCCGGCCGCCGGGCGCTGGAGCTGCCGGCGCACGGAAAGGAGTCGCGAGCAGCTGGAGCGGAGTTGGAGGAAGCGGCGGCCGCGGCCGGGGCGGCGGGGAGCGGGTCGGGAGACGGCGAGCTTGGGTCGGGAACGGCTGGCGGGTCGGAGCCTGGTCAGGGGCGCATCGGAGCCGTGCGCGCAAGAGGCTGCCGCTGCAGCCTGGGCCCCGCAGAGGAAGGAAGCCGGCCGGCGGGGGAGGTAGGCGGCAGCAGCGGGTCCGGGTGTGTGCTCGGGAGGGGGAGGCGGTGCGTGCGCGCGCGGCTACCGCCGCTCTCTTCCTGTCACCAGCAGCCGCTTCTCCTTCTGCAGAGCCGAGCCGGGGGAAGCGAGCCGGCCGCCGTCCACCCTGCCGCCGGCATCTCCCGCCCGCCGTGCAGCCGCGGGCCCTACTCGCGGCCAGCGTCCTGCGTGCTCCCGGCCACCTCGCGGCTCCCGTTTCCCTAGTCCTCTTCCGAGCGGGTTGTGCGTGCCGCCGGGCGCATTCGTCCCTGGAGTTGCAGGCGAAGTCGGGCTTCCGCCACCCCTCCGTCACCTCACGCTTCTGTGGGTCCCCACTGTCGCCTTGCTGCAGTTTTCCGGCGCCTTTCAGCAGAGGAGAGCGCCCTGACCGCTGCCTTTGCGTTAGCGGGAAGGAGCTATGCCTTCCCCCGCGCCCTCCGGCTGCACCCGGGTTGCTGCCCGGGCCCTTCCCCGGGGCGAGCGGGGCGGCGGGGGTCCCCGGAGCTAGCCCCCAGCCCCCGCCCTCCGAAGTTCGCCTCCCTCCTCTTCCGGGGTGGGGGAAGTGCGCCTCGGGGCGGCCGGTCGCTGGGACCCTAACTCGGCGTGTGGTGCCGACCGGGCCTGGGCAGGTTGTTGGAGGCAGACTTAATGGGGTCTTGGAACAGCCCGGAAATCCAGGTTTTTTGTAACGCGGGGCGAGGCTGGAGGGACCGGCCCAGCAATATGGAGCCGGCTAGAGAGAGCGAGAGAGCGTGCAAACCCGAGCTGAAAGATCGTGGGGAATTGTCTGGAATCCACAGTTCTCACACTCACTTCCCAAGGGCAGAAACTGCCCCGCAGATCACAAGACAAAGAGAACAGGAAAGCTCAGGCCAACCGCTCCAGTGCAGAAATGTACTTTGGTAACCAGAATTCGATCATGAAATGTAAGGGTGTGAGCGGAATGGCTGTTACATGTTGAATGCAGAATGTGTGTGGACTGGATTTGGGGAAATTCTTCTGCTTCTCTGGGCGCAATTAAGATCAGAAAGGTCTCACTTACACCGTTAATCCCTGGTTGGAGCTGCAGCACTGTTAGTATCTGAGTATGAGTTTACTCTGTTTGGGGGTTTTGCGACTTTAGAAGTGATAGGGGTTTGGGGGGCTTTTTTTTTTTTTTTTTTCAGTTCTTTTCCTCTTTGTCAGTGCGAAGTACGAATGGATAAAGCAGTTCCGGGTTTTGAATACAGCATAAGATTGTCATTTCAGTGTGATGGGGCTGGAGTTTTAGTTGTTAGGCGGGACATTCACAAAGTAAGTGACCCAGGGGTTATGTGGAATGGTTTTTGTTTGTTTGTTTGTTTTTTAATATTTCATTAGCTTGTCTTGCGTTTGGCAGCTTTAAAGATGGTTAGGTATAAGCTAGAAAAGGTCAGAGTAGGAAGACAAGTTTATTTCTGAGACAGGCTATCAGTAATGGGGCAGATCATCAGGAATTGGGTGACTTCTGCACAGAAGGCCACAAACATCTTTTATCGTTGTAAGAGAAAAAAAAAGCACCCTCGTAGCCATAATTTTTTGATAGATTACACTGTCTTGAAATAAACAGCTTTTAAAAAGCATAGATGATAGTCTTCTTAGAAACAAAAGTTCTTAAACTTTGGGAATGTTTTGGTCATTACAAAGAAAATAGCCTGAGTGATTTTGTGGGGGGATCCCTCTTCAGGTTGGGAAGGTGTGTTTGGTTCAGAATCAGGCTTAAACTGGAAAGGCTGGTGGAGGAGGCTCCCTGCCTTGCAGAAGTGTTGGGTTATGTCACTGCTGGCCTCTTCAGCTTTGATATGACAATTGCAGCTAGCGAGTTGTACCTTTTCCCTAGGAGTGTATAGATTGTTGTGGTTGGAAGAAAGTTTTATATGTCTGATACTGGCTTTCAAAGCGTGATGTGCGTTTGCTTTATAACTTTCATCTTGATTCGGGAGCTTGTCAGTGGCATAGCAGATAATTTGCATTGTACACACTACTGTCTGCTGTTTTCTCTGTTTTTGTAAAATGACGGTGTCACTGTGTCTTCTCACCTCTGTGATGCTGATAGCCAATGTGAAAAAGCATGTCACTCCCCATTGATTAATTATATTGTCTTTCCATAGCTGTTCCTTTAAATTTCACCTTATTAAGAACAGTAAATCCCCACAACATTAAGTTGGTTTTGGGAAACAGAAGTGGTACAATAAGTCATAGGTGATACGTATTTTGGTTATGGACAGGGATGATGGTAGTACGCATTTATTTGCTGGAAATGTTAAATGCGTCTAAGCTGGTTTTTGAAGGGCTTTGGTATCTTCAGTGCAAGCCTGCTCCACTTGCTCAAATTTTGTGTCATTAAGAGTGTTGCCCATATATTTAATTAAAATTTTCCATGAATGCCCCGTAATTCTTAGGCTAACGTGTTCGTCAGAATCTCCTTTTTTTTCTTAGGTAGTTCAAGGGAGTATGCTAAAAAGGCATCCACTCTGAAAGATTGTCCACACACTCATTAAAACAGAAACAATTCTAGTTCAGCTCTCACTGTGTTTGCATTTTGTCATATGCAAAATGAGTTTTAGTGAATAAAGAGATGGTCAGTGAGCACATTGAAAATAAAATGATTTCATGGTCAGGTAGAATATAGAAAGCTGAGATCATGTTTGCATTTGGTGTTTTGCTTTTAATTCTCCCACAACTGGGGTATACACAATGCAGAAGAAAAAGGGAAGTGCCTTTTTCAGTATATTATACATTTAGATGGGCTCCCCACAGCTCTTCTGTCTTTTGGAGGATACAGGGATTTGCCAGTGAAGGCAAGAGAATGGAGCATCTTACTGAAGCCCTCAGAAAACAAGAAGTTACTTATCAATGGAAGGAAGAGATTATCACTTCGTTTTTACCTTAGAAGGCGTAATATCAATTATATAACAGCTTTTAATAAAAAGAACTTATGTTGTCATTGATTTTAAAAATATTCATCCTATTTCTTGTTTTTGTCCCCCGTCTCCTCCACCTACACCCTAATGTGATTACCTGCCATGGTTCTGCCAACCCTCTTATTGGAATTACTTGCTTAAGAGAGTGGCAATTAAAGGCCATTTCATGTACGTTATGCCAAAGCAGCTGAAAATAGACTATGTAATTACTCCTAAACTTGTCTGTTTGGGTGATATTAAGGGTTTTGCCTGTTTATTTATTTGAAAGGATAGAATGAGTGTAGTGTACCTTTTGCTTTAAAAAAAAAATCTACTATAAAAACATCTTTGGAGATTGTATCCTTCCAACATTGTTTTCCTTAAAGTGAATCCAATAGGTACCCCCAGGCACCTGTAATCAAAATAGTTTTCACCTTAACGATCACCCAGAGAGTACTGCGAGTACTGCGATCACGGGAGCCTAGCAAAAGTGAGGAGACTCGAGCAGTGTGTGGAGAGAGTGAAGAAAGCAAGGTGCCTGGGCCGGGCTGGAGTGCTTTGCCCCTCTCCTTTTTGGCTGGACCCCCAGTGGTCTAGCCCCGGCGCTCAGCCCCAGGATCTAGGGCTGTAACAGGAGGACGCTGCTGCCTTCAGTCCCTGGAGGACTGCATGAGTGCTGTCACCTTTCCTCTTTGAGGGCAGCTAGGGAGCAGCCACCAAACCCTGCTGGAGAGGAGTGTTGTCCCCTAACTCCACCCCCTGCCTCATACCACCCTCTCACACAGCCCTGGCCCCTCCCAGGTCTCGTTTGCCCTGACCTCTATAGAGCCACCCTCTGCCTCAGGACTAGATGGGCAAAGTCCACAAGCAGCCCTTATCTGTCTATCTATTTACTCTGAAAAGAAGTTAAAGAAACAGTGGAGAGGTTTATTTTGGCTAGCTTGAGGATTCTTTCAGTAGACTTTGCAGCATTTAGAGGCAGGGCAAAAGAAAATTCTTGGCAAATGTTCTGGTTTTAAAATGAATTGTATAAGTGGTAGTAAGTGGCAATCAATATTAATAGTAATGACAGTAGTAACAATACTACTACTATAGCTGTGGTTTACTAGCCATGTGACTTAAAGCAAATTATTTTACTTCTCTGTGCTTATTTTCCCATCTGTAAAATGGAGATGGTAATCACACCCACGATGGTTGTAATTAAATGAGTTGACATATGCAGAACCGGAAGAAGCGTGCCTGGCCCCCAATAAGCACTGTGTTGGTCTTAAGCAAGCTCTGATTATCAAGCATGGAGTGCAGTCTTTGTATAAATAATTTCCTTTACTCTTCATAATAAATAGGGGCACGGAGAGCTTTAAGTAACTTGCCCAAGTTTAAAAATTTAGGCACCAATGGGGACAAGCATCTTTGAGGGTGAAACCCAGTGCTTATACTCACCTTCTTGCTAAGGATTTTACACAGTAGCGTTGTATTTTCACAAGAGGGGGGACTCTAGATTGTCTGCTTGTCTGCTTTAGTCCTCCCACTCCATGGCCATCTCCTCAGGGCTTCTTCCCCGGGATGATGCAGAGAACTAGAATGGTCCTTCCCATGGCCTTTTCTGGGTGATGGGATATGTTTCTCAGGCTCTGGAAGCCACAGCCTCCCTGTGGTGACCACTGAGCCTCAGAACTGCCTCCAGCTGGGCCTGTGTCTCTGCCGCTCGGCAGTGCTCCGCTATCCCATCACTTTGGTTTCTGCAGAGCCCTGTGTCCTTGTTGTTTGACCGGGGCTTGTCCTGTCCCCCCACCCCCATGCCCCCAACCCCCAGAGGGCTTGCGGGCAGGAGTTGTGCCCTAGGTGCCCTGCTTCCCCCCACAGTGCAGACCCAGCCCTGAGCGCGGCAGCCTGGGACACATTCTGGTTGGTTTGAAAAATGAATGGAGATACTTGAGGACTGTGGCTTGGGGCTTCCTCCGAGCCCATCATTTTATTTTGTTTTAACTGAGGTAACATTTACATCCCATAAAATTTTACCCTGAGCCCATCATTTTAGCTTGAAATTCATTATGTTAGTAGGAAATTTTAACTGTTCAGCTTGATTTTCATGATTTCCAGGACACTATTTGAAAGGTAAAAAGAGTTTTAAATAATGAATTGTGCCTTTTGTTTTTTAAAAAGGCTGTGTGGATTTAGTTAGGGAGCTTGCCCTACTCAGAGCTACCACACTGAGGATGGAGAGGTGAATTATAGGTCTGGGGGCCCAGGAACCTCTCTGCAGCTTTGCAGCTGGATTGAAAGTCCATTCTGTGCTGGGACCCAGGGCCAAACTGCTGATTTCAGGGCAGGATAGAATCACACGATCAGGCTATATTCTTGATTTATTTAAAGCGATTTGAAAATATCCTTTATTCCTGCCTCCCCACCAAGTTTGCTAAATCCCCGTCCTTTGTGAAAGGGGAATGAGTAAGTCAACAAAGTCAGAGGACTTTTCAAAGAATTTTGTTTGGTTCTTTGCCCAAATGCCTGCGGGTTAGAGGGTTTAAATTGAAAATTTACTTTCAAGCAGTTGTACATTAAAAAGTCATGGATTGCTCCTTGTCGGGCATCAGAAACAACTTTATTCTGAGGAACAGAATGGGAATTGGTTGGTGTTTTAGCAGAGAGAGAAAAATCTGTCTTCCGAGTAATGGTATTGCAGGCAGTCTGTAAAAGGCTTGAAAAACAGGAGCAACATTTTTCCCGTGAAGGACCTTTTGAACTGCTGCCTATGATGTTCTGTATGAGTAAGTTAATTTGTTATTTGTTCCTAGGACTCCTTTATACCTTTTGTTACAGTAACTTAGGTTATGCACTGTCTTGGAGCATATGTCATAAAACTGCCTTGGTTATTTGAAAACATTAGATTATCCACATATAAAAATCTTAACTGGGGAAATAATTCTGTTGAAGCTGGCTGGAAACATTTCAATGAACAGGTGTATGTAGCCAAAGAGGTTGGAGGGGTAAGCTTGTGAATCTGG